CTAGTATTTTGTTGATAAACTGATAAATACCCTAGTATTTCACTGATAAATTTTACCTTCCTTTCTAAGTTATGCCAAGGAGAGTGATTGTATGATCCTATTTTCACTTCCACGTTTACTTTTGCCACATTATGACCATTTTGCCTTAAAATACTCTTGCCCTGCCAGCTTGCTCTCAACTACAGAAAATTTTATGGTTCTGGAATATTTCAGTAAAAATGTTAAATTATTTAAACTCATTTTATGTCTAGCATTTATGCCATGGATGGGATTTTGCTGCCCTGTGAAAACCCACCTGTTTGGCACACTCAGTGCATAAAAATGGACTCTTCTGCAGGTGTTTACCTGCTTTTAGGAGCAGGGGAGCTGTGCCCACATTTTGGGCTGGGGAGAGGGGCAGGAAGCAGGAATGGGGAGGACACATCCAGAATGGGTGAGAAGAGGAGGAGGAGAACAAACCAGGGGATTGTTGAACATTCTGGAAAACAAGTCTCTACAGCCTCAGATTCTGATTGTGAAATTGGGAGATACCTTTTGCCATGTGTTTTATGTGCCTCAATTCCCTGTCTTTGAAATTGAGGTAACTTTGCTGCCTTGTCTCACAAGAAGATTAGAAAAATAAAAAGCTGGTATTTGTGAGCACAAGGAAGGCAAGAAGGGGGAGTCTGGTGCTGAGTTTGAACCTAGGAACAGGAGCCGGGGCTGGAAACAGAGGCAGGAAAAATGCAGGAATATCAGGGACAGGAATGAAGAGCTTGGGTGCAGAAAGCTGAGACTGGGGACTGCAGATAACCAGAGAAGGGACATTTTTGGCATGAAAAGCAGCTGTGGGATGGAAAGCCTGGGCAAGGATTGGGATTGCCAGTGTGAGCAAAATCATCCTGATTCTTACCAGGCTGATCAGAGAAAGAGAGCTTGAAAGGGATGGGGGTCAGAGCCTCGGAAATAGCAGAGAAGTCTGTCCAGCAGAAAACATTTTTTGTTTAGCTGGGGCTTTAAATTGGATTGTTTCTCTGTGGTCAGCAAATATCTGTGAAAATGTGGTGCTGCTGTTCCAGAAGGATCACAACCTGTTCATACCATCACTTACTGCCTCAGCCCAAGTGACCAAAATGTCCCTATTGGTACCAAAAATAAAGGCCAGTTGCTTAACCTGTAGATGTCTGTATAGTGCCATGCAATGAATTTCCTCTTTGTGGCTTAACATTTAGAGTCTTTTTAAATGGTGTTAATATATTAGGATTATTTTCAGCCCTGTATATGGGCATTCAGGAAATTTCTCCACATAGAAAATTTCTCTGCACAGAAAATTTATCCACAAATAAAACTTCTCCACAAAGAAAATGTAAGGAATGATATTTTGAAGGCTTTGTTCACAGGAAACATGTGTGTGTCCAGTGATTCTGATCTTAATGACAAGATAGAAAATATTCAGCTGTTCTGTAAGGACTCTGGTGTGGTTTGTTGTTCAGAATAGGACTGGTCTAAGGATGAATGTGGTGTATGCAGTGAAATGTGCTTCCTGGAGAACCAGCAATTTTTTAATAATGTTTGGAAGTTGGGATTGTAGAGGGATGGATTGTAGGGGAAAGGATTGCAGGAGGAATGGTCTCACAATTAAAACATGGAAGGTATGTTTTAATTGTGTGTCTCTGCCAATAGCACTGAACTTCTGTGTGGTCATGTTGCTTCCACACAGCATTTTTGTTTCAATCCTTTTATTTCCTGTCTCTTGCTTTCTGAGTGCCTGACTTGGGGATTCTTGGAGAAATACTAAGCTTCCAGCTGCAGATGAAGTTAGCATTTGAACATGTGGAATTCTGTAAAATGCTAAACATTCTGGAAAAGCAAGGCCTAACTGCCTGAAATTCTGTTTCTGAAATTAGTAGGTACCTTTTGCCATGTTTCATGTGCCTCAATTCCCTGCCTCTAAAATGGAGGCAACTTTGCTGCCTTCTCTCCCAAGAATATCAGGAAAATAACGCAGGTGGTATTTGTGAGGCATTCAAGTGCTATATACTGACATGTGCTATTGAAAAGCCATTCTGTCTGCAGAACAAGGTTTGAATAGTGTACAATAAATATGTCAGAAAAGCTCTGAGTAAACAGTGACAAGAAAATAAAATACTGGCTAGTCAGTCACTAAAGGAATAGCCAGTCCCTAAATGAGCACTGTGCATCCTCCTCACTGAAGAAGATGAGGAAGAAGAGTATAAGGCCTGTATAATGAAATTCTGTATCATAACAAATGCACCTGTAAAAGCCTAACTCACTCCCAGCATCCAATCTAAGGATCCTGAGTTTTTTATTTTTCCCATCTAAATCTTTGCAAATTTGCAGACATTCTTCTATTTTCTGAAATACAGTATTATAGTAGTATATATTCTAAAAAAAAAAATATATATATACACTATTGTAGTAGTATATATTCTAAAAGTGTATAAATATATATATATAAAATATATATAATATTACCTATATTGTATATAGTATATATAATTATATCCATTATATATATTATAATAATGGTATATACATACACTATTATAGTAGTATATATTCTAAAAGTATATATATTATAATTATATATATTATAATTACATATATTGTATATATTATTATATATAGATATATTATATGTATTGTACATATTATATATTATATTATATAATTATTTTATAGATAATGATATAAATTATAAATATCATAATAATGGTATGTATATACACTATTATAGTAGTATATATTCTAAAATAATATCTTTATTTTAGAATAAATATAACAAATGAACACAGCGTTGACATGAAAGATTTTTTTGTTTTCTGACCCCACTTTGAAGACCAGGGTGGTGTGGCAGGGTTTGCAGTGGTTCCCTGTCTGTGATATTTAGTCAGGGATATTTAGTCCCTGAGTGAAATGAGTTTGCTGGGTCTTGGTTCTGTTTGCTCCTCATCACAGAGATGCCAGCAGGGAGTGGAGGAAGGTTGAATTCCTTCACTTGTCTCTCCACCTGCCACATCCCCCTGCCCACAGCAAAGTACTGTGCACTTTTTTAGAAAGAAAATGTGATTGAGAGATCTGCCAAGTGCTCCCCTGTACTTCCCAGCTTCTCCTTCTCTGCTTTGCACGCTTCCATCCCCTCCCACAGCATCCAGGTGGTACCTTGGCTTTTCCCAGCACACCTTTTGCTCAGCAGCCAGAGGAGAAAGGCTCATGCCCTGTGTGGATGTGTTGAGGCAGAAATGAGGCATCATCAGCCACAGCCACAGCCAGGTTTAACCTGCCTTGGAGTAAGGGGAGAGCTGTGGGTGAAGGATTCTCTGCCGCAACGCTGGTTTAATGCAGCTGAAATTCAGAGCTGCAGTTGCTGTGCGGTATTCACAGGTGTGTGGGTTGTGCTTCACAGGCAAAATGCTGCCAGTAAATACACACCTCTCTCCTCTTCCAGCACTGGGCTGTGGCATCTCACCCTGCACACAGGCTGTCCTGCTCCTCATGCATTACTTTCTGCATTTCCTTCCCCTGGAGAAAATAACAGCACAGTTCTTCTCCCAGCGCTGCCCACGGCCAGGAGTGGCCAGTGGTGGGAAGCCCTTGGGAGCATCTTTCAAGTCACACCCAGCTGCACAGTCTCAGAGCCAGCAAGGAATTCTGCATACAGCTCACTGAAAATGCTAAGATTTCCTATGCTTTTTAATCTAATTCTTGTGTTAAAGAAGTATTGAAGAAAGAGAAGCTGTGTTTAGGTGTGATAAACGCAAAAATGTGGCAAAGCTGAGAATAAGGATAGTCCACAGAGCCTCCTAATTCAGTTTTGCAGCCACTGCTGTTCTCCTGTTCCCTTCAGAAGCGTGTGCATTTTAAAGGAACCACCCAGTTTAGCCTTTGCCTGCTAAATCTTTCAAGAAATATGCTCCTTCCATGATACCAGTTTCATAAATTATTGCACTGTGCAGAAGATGCTCAACTGTCTCATCTGACCCAGCTTGGGTCCAAAAGCAAGCCAGTCATTAAGCAAGCAAAGCCTCAGTTTTACATTAATTTTCACCTTACTTTACAAAAGCTAAATGGTAATGTCATGTCTTTTATACATCTCCCTCAGAGGGAGGGTGGAAATATTTTTGTCATAGCTGAAAAATAAGGTTTATTGTGCAAGGACCATGTGCTTGTGGGCAGCCATGTGACCTCTGTTTCTGTTTCCCCATCTGTAAACTGGATTTAATGTTCCTACAACTCACTGGGGAGGGCAGGCTTTGATTAACATGTATGATTGCCTTCTACAAATGCAGCTACTGTCACTGCTTGGTTTTATTAGCCACTATGAGTAGAATATGAGGAGGAAACATGTAGCAGAATAATGTGCAACCAGGGTGAGCCCTCTGCATCTTTTAACCATCATATAATTTATTTTCAGACTCTTGTCGCCGTGTGTGCATATTTAAAATAAAACTCTACTTACACTGCAGTGCTATAGAAATCAAATAACTTGGTGTAGAGGTTGACATGCAGATGAAACACTGTTTTTTAAAGGGGAAAATGCCCACAGATGTATTTAAATACCTTGAGCAAATTTGTATTTTGTTTAGGAAATTTTCATAAGGAAAAAAAATCTGTTCCAATTTAGAGAATCCAATATATTGAAAACACGAACCTGATCTTTACAGAAACTGTGACGCGCAGTCAAGAAAGCAGCAATGAAATTTAAAACGTTGTGCCTTTAATATGTCAAATAGAAATTCTTCATATCATTCCTGTTGTGTTGAGGTTTTCAAAATATAAGTATTTTGGAACATGAGAATAATATTATGGTAGATAAGTCCAGAAGAACGTTGGGGAAGCGCTTTATTTGTGTGAGTAAACACGGATCAGTCGGGGAAAAGACGGTATTTCCAAATGCGCCATGCAAAACAAATTCATCTCTTTTTTTTTTTTTTTTTCTCTCTCCATGTTTTTCTCTCTTTCCTCCCTCTCTCTCCCCTCCTGAAACCCTCCTGCCACAGCGGCTGCATTTGCCTCCAGACTTGTCAGACACAGTGAGCCGCGCGAGCAAACAGGATCTGGCAGGATCCGCCAAACTGCTGAGCTCAGGATGTGGCGCCATGGCCATCGGCAAGAAGCACCTGGACTTCTAGTGATTTCTGCTTAGCAGCCTCACTCACATTCAGCTGACACCCTCATTAGGAGTGTTAATGACTTATATCAATATTTTTCTTAATGATTTGACCCAGCAGTCTTTAAAAATACGTGTTGTCATATGATGCCTGCCTTTTTTTCTTTTTTTTCCTTTTTTTTTTTTTTTTTTGCATGTGTGTGTGTGTTCTCTTTCTTTGTACTAAATTTGGTCTCATTTGGGTTTTGCTTTTCGTTAAAGCTTCTGTTCTGTTGGGTCCTGCCATTGTTCTGCTCCATTGGAAACAGGTAGTATTTTGTTCCTTTACTTAAAATACAAAAATTGCGATTACCCTTTCTTTTTTTTTTTTATACATCAAAAATAAAGGGATGTTTTTCCCAAAAGAATTTTTTATATTCTTACATATAATATTTTGTATGAATAATGGGTTTATTGAAATAAAGGAATGGAACTTATTGAAATAAAGGAATGGAACTAAGCAATTCATTGTCATGTGTTATTCAAACAGCAAACTACACATTTTTAAAAACATGCATTTCTGTAATTGAAACACCATTCTTAAATTTCAGGAAATCCCTACCTCATTTTATTAAATATGTAATAATAAATTTACAATACATAAGATAGTTTTTATTCTAATAGGCCAGTAATTGAGGATGGGGGTGTTTAAATCAGAAGATATTATAGATAATTACTTTGCCTTATTGCTTACTACGTGGATTAAAATGCACTTGAATGGACTTCCCTAAGCAGAGAGGAAAGAATTGATTTCCTTATGTAGTTCAAAACAGTAATCCTAAACAATTGAAGTCAGCACTATGAAATTATGTCAACAGACATAATTCAAGATGGAAATTCAAACCGACAGCTACATTAATGCTGGGAAACCAGAAGAGTGCACTGGAGCTGGGGGAAGGATGACACAGAGAGCTGGTCTAAAGCAGGGCAGAATACACGAGTAATTCAGCCTTTTGTACCCTCAGATATACAATTTGTGAGCTCCTAACTGTTCTCTATGTATCCCTGTGTGTCTCTCATCAAACAAAGGAACAGTGAAGCAAAGCTGACCTGGGAATTAAAGTGGTTTGCATTCTTTCTTCTGAGGCTGACTTCCATTTTGAAAGGTAATATCTTCTTCTCTGCAGAACTTCCAAGCCACCCAGCTGTAAGATTGCATTACAGTTTCAAAATTTAGTCTTTATAATAGTGTATTACATGGCTGGAGTGAAATTGAGTCTTCAAAGAACATGTTAATAGGATGCAATAATGGTAACATATTTTGATGGGTTTGGAAAACCAAGACTTGGGAAGTGGTTTGCTTTTTCTTTTTTTTTTTCTCCTCTGCAATCCAGGTTCTTCTTTATTTTTTTCTTGACAACACTGTGTAAAACAAAGACATAGCTTTTAAAACTGTCTAACTAATATGATGAATGTCAATCACTTAAAAAACTCCACTGTAGCATAAACACATACTGTATACAGCTTTTATTCTGAATTAGAATAATTGAATCAATGACAGTGATTTGCCAGGATGTCAAATCTATCCATCATATCCTGTCACTACCAGTTTATTTTTTGTGATCAAAATCAAAAAGACTACTATTTTGTCATCAGCTATTTCATTAGTAGTAACAATCAGGTTTTCTCTTCTATATTTTTTAGATATGCCTGTTATATTTTTTATTTCTAAAGACACAAATCCTTTTTAAATCTTTTCAAAATAAAGTTTCAGAACTGAACTGTCAGTTTAGTGAAGAAAAAAGACATCTGCTTTCCTATGCCAACATATTTAAAATATTATCATTGATGTCTCAAACATTTTTCTCTTTTTGTATTATGTGTAACTGAATGGAAGTTCTCATTAGATAAGTAATTGTGCCTTTTGAAAGCATGAGATAATTTAAAAACTTAGGATAAAGTGATTTTTAACAAAGGTGAAGTTTTACATTGTACGTCTTTTTAATGTAAATAACACAAAACACACTTTTTATTCTTTGTGGAATATAAAGTCACAAGGCATATAAATTGCTGCCAACATATTTAAATAGGTCATTGACTTAACATACAGAGGAGAAAATATCATTAAAGTCACAGTCCCATTTCTAGCTGAGATATTACCTGATAATTGTTAGTGTCCATCCCACGTGTGCATCTGCAAGGCTTCAGTTTCCAAAACTTCAGCAGGCTAATATTAAAGCTGACAAACAGTTTGAGTAATAAAAGGAACTCCTTCTACAAACCTGCATTAGTTTGGTTTTTTTCTGAGTCACTAAATGTGCTTTGTAAATTGTTAGAGAATGCAGTGTTGTTTACCTAAGGCAAAGACATGGAGTGTTGGAAGATTTTTAGTTTTATAAAGATGGAGTAAGTTTTATAAAGAGAGGTGTTTTAAAAGATTTTATTCTATTATTAGTCTCATAGAAGGGTGAGATATAAGAGATGTAATTTAGTTTAATCTCTCTCTCCACAATGCCATCTCTTTTCTACAGTCTTCTTAAGTTAATACACTTTATCTCAGTATTTATATACAGATATTCAAAACCATACAAACTTTCAATCAACTTTTAAAAATCTTTTACAAGTCCATTCCTCACGATGGAGCAAAATTTCTCTTCTTTTCTTCCATAATCTCCTCTATCAGTTACAACTACACATGACAGTGACTTGGCTAATCCAGCAAGCTGAGAGGTGAGACAGAACTTTGGGTGTGCTGCCTGATAGCAGGTAGGGAGAGGGTAGATTTGGGGTAGATAGAGGGTAGATAAAGTGTAGATAGAGGGTAGATAAAGTGTAGATAAAGTGTGGATAGATTGTGGATAAAATGCAGATTTCAGTCGTCGCACCAGCAGCAGTTTTGACTTGGGAATCCAGAGAAATGTTCACCTGGTGATTTTCTGTGCCTTTTGCCCGTGGCCACTCTGTGCCTGTCAAGCTCCTGTGTACAAAACATCCTTTTTCAGTTCTGTCTTCCCTTGACTGGAAGGCAAATATTTAAGCAAGGGGAGCAGCTCAGGCAATCGAAGAATGGGCACAGCCTCCTCTGCCAGGCTGTGCCCATGTGCTCCCAGCTCCTTTTGGCATCTCCAGAGGCCCCTTGCTGGCTTGGACAGAAATCTGTGCCATCCTCACTCCTGCTCAGAGATTGCAGAATGAGGGGGTTTTGTTTATAGCAGATTTTTTTAAGCAGAACTTCCTACTTTTTAGCAGGCTACAAACTGAAACCACCGAACTCAGCAGGGAAACAATAGATTCATCCCAGGGAAGACGTTCCCAATTCAGCACAAGAACCTGATCTTTACAGAAATTGTGACACACAGTCAAGAAAGCAGTAATGAAATTTAAAACGTTGTGCCTTTAATATGTCAAATAAGAATTCTTTCTATAATTCCTGTTGTGTTGAGGTTTTCAAAATATAAGTGTTTGGAACATGAGAAGAATATTATCGTAGGTAAGTCTTTTTCTCTGTTTGTAAAGACATTTCAAAAGCAATTTCCAGGGTGCAGCTGAATTCAATTTTGTGTAACAGTAGCTACAAGCATCTGGAAATGGGCATTCAGCTACTCTAGATTTGATACCTTTGTGGTAGTACCCAACTGGTTTAATATTTAAATTTAATATTAAGTAGTGATGCTGTTCCAAACATAGCTTTTGGGAAAGTGCAAAAGCCTTAAATAATAAAATAACCTTTCACCATGCCAGTATTGGAAAGTGAGCTGCTAATCAAGTTTCTCTGAAAGCACAAGGGTGTAACACATCCCATTAAAAATGTGGCTGGACTACAAGAACTAAACTCAGACACACACTCACATGCACTAAAGAAGTATTTCTCCAGGATCATCTATTAGAAATTTAAAGTGTTCTTCTTCTTTTTCCTGTGCTGGAGAAACATCATAGCTACAGAGCACAACAGAAATAGGAAAGAAGATGCTTTTATGCCTTTAAGAGATGGTGGAAGCAAGTCCAATTCCCCCCCGCCATCTCTTGGGATTTCTATTTTCTCTTGTGAGCTACATGAGTGCAGGACCTGCCTACATTTCTTTTTTTAATCACACTAAGCACATGATAGTGCTTATTCAATAATAAATGTACCTGTGTAGAAGAAAAGAATGAAAGTGAGTCTTCTTCATCTTAGGGAAAAAATGGCAAAGGGGTAAGAAAGCAGAAATTCCACCACTCTATTTTTTCAGATTCTATTTAATATAAGCAAATGTTAGAATCTTTTTCTTTTCCCAAAAAAAAAAAAAAAAAAAAAGCACCCCCAGAGCATCTGCTGAAACCTTGGCTGCTTATTTAAACCCTGCCTTTAAACAATTTTGAAAGTTATCAGGCACATCAAACTCATTTGCAGACCTCCTGTTCATATCAAAACAAAGACACCTTTTATGTTTTCAGCATTTTATTGCGTGAGGATTTTCTAGACCTGCAGAACTTAATCTGAAAAGTCTCCCAGAGAAGTCAGTGATGGTTTAGACCAGGAGCAACCTGGTAGGGTAAAGTCCAGAGGATCTTTTACAATTTAGTAGATCCAGAGAATTTTTAACTGCATATTCCTCTATATATTAAAAAAATGTATTTTAATGTCTTCTGGCATTGAAGATAAATGTAAAACCCAAAATATAGCAAGATTTTTTTTTTTAAAAAAAAAGTCTTTATGCTGGCAGAGTTTGAGTCTGAATGTTCATAGCCTCAGAATCTTCTCAGCATTCAGAGTGCCAGAGGTATTCTCTTAAAAGTCCTGAAATTGGTGAATTTTGGTGCACTTTCAGATGCTTCTTTTGAAGTCAGGTTGACACAGATGCGCTAAAGAAAGCTCTTGCTGGAATTTCACAGGGCTGGATTCAGAGAAGAACAGAAAGGATGGATGGATCTGATGTGGGTATGAAATCAAGCGGTTTTCAGTGCCTATATTTTGAGATTTTGATATATTGTGTGGAGAAAGAGCTGTAAAGCTGTTTAAAATGCACTGCTCAGGTGAAACTTCTCAGCATTTCTTAGAATGCATTTATTTAACACAAATCAAGTCAGAGCTTCCACTCATAGGCCAGGGCTGATTGTGCAGGGCATCATTCTTGGCCTGGAACTTGCATGACTTCAAATCAAATTTGGCTTCCTGACCTGTTTTAAATCAGGACAGGGATTCTTCTAGCAGGGCTTGACACCAGTTCCAGCTCCACTGTCTCCAGCTGACAGCTGGGAGCTGCAGCTCTTCATTCCTGAGCAGGGAGGTTTCAGTGCATCCCTTTCCTTCCTGGGCACGTTCAACATCTCTGTGGATGCAGCAGGTGAACTTGTCAGACACAAAGGTTCCTCAGGGGTGTGATGGAACTCCTGCCAGCAGCATGGCCTGGCACCTGGGAAAGGTGAGCTAACCACAGAAACACAGGGTGGGTCAGGCTGGAAGGGACCACAGCAGGGCCATCCCTGAGCACTGGACTGTGTCCAGCTGGAATATCTCAGTGAGGGAGACTCCACAGCCTC